ACACACACACACACACACACACACACACACACACACACACACACACACACACACACACACACACACCCACACACACAAGTATATACGTAGGCGCAAGAGAAAAACAACAACTAAACATATACGTATCAGTAGTTGTGATATCACATGTATGCTATGTGTATTCTTCAGTTTACCACATATACATACACGACATCTGTGAACTACTTACACACCGTGCCATTTTGAATCCTCTGCTGTATTGTAATTTTAACTGCGCGGCGCTGCGAGTGTACGCCTCGGCCGTGCGTTCACTCACTGCAACCCCATGCAGTATGAGGCAGCGCACTTAAACCTCATACGTGATATTCATACACAGTTTACGAGACCAAACAAATACAGTCGTAGCAGCGAGACACACTCATCATCATCCGAGATGTGAGACTTTCATTCTATAGAAGCGCACGGATGCGAAACGTTTGCGTATGCCGTGAGCAGCGAGCGCGGTTTTGGGTTGCCGAAGTTCATGTAAGAACGACGCCGATTGGTCGCCGCGCGCGCGTGGGCGGGGCATCGGCCGCTGCCGAGTCAGACGAGTTTATATATCGACGATTTACGTTGTTGCTGCTATACTACGTAGAGGATTGCATCCCCGGGCGGCGAAAGCAGCTCGCATGGGCAGGAGCGGCGCTCTCGCACCTCAGCATTCGGAATACGATAGTCAGTACCCCCGACCGACGGCCCCGATGCAGGTCGGCTATCCTTCCTACACGGCGAGCAGCCCAAGTCCGAGCGGACTGGGAGCGATGCCGCCGCTGCCGTACGACCAGGCGGGCTACTACCGTCAGAGCTACTCGACGATGGCGGCAATGAATCCCGGGATGACGGGCATGTCCGGCATGTCGATGGGTTCGATGAGTTCCATGTATCACGACCAGTACGGCACGATGGCGGCGGCGGCGCGGCCGTACGCGAGCCCGTACGGCGCCGCGCAGCATCACGCGCAGGCGAAGGACATGGTGAAGCCACCCTACTCGTACATCGCGCTGATCGCGATGGGGATTCAGAACGCTCCCGAGAAGAAGATCACGCTCAACGGCATCTACAGCTTCATCATGGAACGCTTTCCGTTCTATCGCAACAACAAGCAGGGCTGGCAGAACAGTATCCGTCATAATCTCTCCCTGAACGACTGCTTCGTCAAGGTGGCGCGCGACGACAAGAAACCGGGCAAGGGCAGCTACTGGACGCTCGATCCGGAATCACTCAACATGTTCGACAACGGTAGCTACCTGCGTCGGCGGCGACGCTTCAAGAAGCAGAAGGACCCGGAGCGCGACAAGGCGATGCGACATGCCCACAAGGAGGACGGTGAGACTCCGTTGCGGGGCCGGGACCACGTCGGCAGTCCCGAGCGTAACAATAGCGGTGACGCGAGCAAGGACTCGTGCGTCTATCAGACGGGCGGCGGTGCCGACGAACCGCTCGCCGACGTCAGCGGCGGCGACTCGACGGATCGCGACACTCAGGAATCGTCGTCGGCGGCGGCCGTGACCAAACTCGAGCCGATCGACATCAAGGCGAGCGAGCTGTCGTCGTGCATGAAGCCGGACGTGCCGAAAGCGCCGCTGCAGCCGACGAACGCCGCGCTGCTCGACGACGCGCAGGGCGTCAGTAACTTCTCCGTCGAGAACATTATGACGAACGCGGCGACGAGCACGGCCGTCGACGTCGGCACGACGGTGACGACGTCGTCGCCGCGCGACCACTACCTGATGGGCGGGTACGTGCCAAGCGGCGCGCGCGACGCCGGACTGTACTCGGCGAGCTGCGGGCAGACGAACAATCTCTACCAGTGCAGTATGCAGAGCTACAACGTGGTGAATCGCGACAGCAGCATGCAGCACATGAGTATCGTTCCATCGCAGGTCGAGGACGGACAGGTGATGACGCAGCTCGGCAGCGCTCCGCCGTCGATGCTCAGCCAGCATCAGTCGTACATCACGCGCACGAACCCGTGGTATAGTGAGGCGTCGGTGCGCGCTGCCGATCCGACGGGCAGCTACACAATGTACGACGCCAGCCGGTACCTGTCGCCGGCACCCGAACATCTGAACTCTAGCGCCTGCCAGGCGGGTCTCCGGTCGGCCTACCGAACGCCGACGTCCGGCTATCCGTACGACTGCAGCAAGTTCTGACAACGGTACTGAAAGACTAATCACATTTTTCTCACACTCACTGTTTCTCTTCTGTCTCTTCCTCTCTCGCTGCTGCTGCTGTTGCTGCTGCGGGATGTCATTCGAAGCGATACCTGCGTACGCGCGTGCGTGTATCATCATCGTCGTCGTCGTCGTCGTCGTAGCCATCGTCGTCATCGTCGCGCACGCGGATGGCGACGCCGCTGCACATATAAATATAAATACGTATACACACGTAAATTACGTTCGTTTTTTTTAAAAAGAAAAAATCAAATAGCCTCCCGTATTATACGGGATGCAGATCGGAGACAGCATTGCGTTGGTGGCGTTATTGTCACGAAAGCAGGTTCGCTGAGATGATATCTTGAAGTAATTCCTTGTTGACATTGTATAAGCGCTGTTAAATCGATATAGGATGCACGTAATCATTACGAACTTGGTGTGGTATTATTAGTATATATATTTTAAATATTTGTTTTGACAATGCGGTTCCCCTATAAATAAGTCGCGCATGCTAACCTGCCAAGCTTGCGCCCTATATGAGTAACGTATAGTTATATAGCTGTTGTGAAAGGTAATATCGCGACGGTACCATTGCTCTTTCTGACATGTGTGTAAAGGGTTGCATCTTCGTAAACGTTACAGAGCAATAGCAAACTATATACGATATCCAGCAAACTGACAATCTCTCTTCGGACAAGCGACATGTTATATTAGCGTTCGTCGTCGGATTTCCATCTGCGTGTAAAAATTTGAACTAGATTGGACAGTGACACGATCGATCACATTAAATATGTTAAACAACAATCTTCGATATTAGTATTCTCTATTCAGGTATGCTTTCGCAGTAGACCGCCCGCACGAACAGCAATCGTGTGTATATATATATATATATATATATATATATATATATATAGAATAATATGTCGAACAAAGTCAATTGAAGAGTCAAGGTCATATAGATAAGGGAATGTATAAATTTTAAGTAACAAGTTCGAGATTACATCTTCTGATCAGGTCAGAGACAATTGGGTGAGAACCGCTAATAAACTACAATGCTTATGGATATCAAAAGGAATAATCAACAAAATACCGGCCGTGCATGAACAGGATGACGAAAGATTACAACACACCACCACACACACACACACACACACACCACACACACACACACACACACACACCACCACGCACGCACGCACGCAACGCCCGCACGCAACGCACGCACGCACGCACGCACGCACCGTACACACGCCACACATACACACACACACACACCACACACACACACACGCACACGCGACACACACACAACACACACACATACACTAACACACACACACACACAACACCACACACACACCACACAACAACACAATACACACCACAAACACACACACACACCACACACACACACACACACACACACACACACACAAATATAATTATAATATATGTTATATAAACACACACACACAACGATGGGTAGGTTAGTTAGATGCTAATTTGTATTTTATTACCGGTTTATTCCAATGTCTGCCTGAACCTGATGAAATGATTGTAACTCTGAAAGCTTGTTAATTAAATTTTAACACTCTTTTCCTATAATCTTGACTTATGATTTTTTATCTACACGGGTGTTCGTGTGTGACTTTACTTACGTATATATATATATATTATATATACTATTAACTATATATATATATATTTTTATATATATGATTACATGACTATCATTAGCTTTGTTATAACTATATATATATTAATATATAATATATATATATATATATATTATATAATATAATATATTATATATATATATATATATATATACAAGAGCTAATAATACGATATTAAACATGTATTATTAATAATAATATTAACATAATAATATATGTTAAATAGTATTATTAGACTATTCGATATATGCTTAAAAGTATATCGAACATACGGCATTCATCTCCATTCTGCTGTTGCTTGCTGTCGAAGGTACAGGGCCATTCGCAGATAGCCCAGCTCGCCTCTGGCAAAAACTTAATTACTCTGATGATGTCTTCCATCTCACGAAAATTTACAAAACCCTAAATATTTCCTGCGCGAAATTTACACCGCACGCAGCTGGCACTCGTGATATACGACGGAGGAGAGAGGAGCGGCGAGACGGCGGGACGACTGCGGGTTTGCAGCTGTTCGCTATATGACACGTGTCGGTCTGTAACGACGGCAGACGCCATTCACGCGAGAAGTGAGCTCTCGGTTATTCCTCTCCCCACGCACATCGTTTACTTGTTCACTTTCGCCGCGCGAGGGTAATACAGGAACCAATAACCGCAGCGTGCCCCGCGTAACGGACGGAGAGCGAATTCAACAGCGTTTATTACTATAGCGGGAAAAGCGAATCGAAAATACGCGGACACCGACTCACAGGACATACAAATTGTTTTTCGAGCAACAAACAAATTATATTGCACTTTGAAGCGCAGAGAGTTGCTTTAGATTTTACAAATATATTAAAGATGCGGGCGCCGTGTTGAAAACGAAAGTATTTTGTTTGTTATCCCCATCGCCTTCTCCGGAGCAGGACAAAAACTGTGTTGACACGCCGGTTCAGTGTTTCGTTTTTACTTAGATTTGTGTGGTTTTTGCTAAAAAATGACTACAGCCAAAGCACGTGGTTAAGTTAATATTCATCCCCTAGTTGTAGCCGCCTTATGATGCGCTGTCACGTGGAGAAATTCTGCGCACAAGAATAAGCACCGGGGTGACAATAACTGTAGGATAAACCTATTCTAGACGCCGATTATTGGCATAGCGTGCCTGTACGGTAATAGTTTTGGCGCGCCATTGCCAACATATGGAAGATTGCAAATATATTTATTAATATATTGAAAATAAATTTTATTCTGGTACTGTTTCTCAAAATGATAAATCTTAACGAAAAATAGTACGGTTAATTTTGCTTATTAAGAAAGACAGCGAAGGAACTATATATATATATATGTGTGTGTATATGGTATGTGTGTGTGATGGCAATCGAATGTGCGTGATACAATGTGCGTGCCGGCGCGCGCGCGCCGCGTGTTGCGCGCTGCGTGTGCGAGTGCGTGTGGTGTGCGTGGTGGTGTGCATGTGCGGTGTGGTGACTGCGTGTGCGTGTGCGTTGCGTGTGCGCTGTGCGTGTGCCGTGTGACGTGTGTGTGCTGGGCGAGGCTGTGTGTGTTGGTGTGTGTGTGTGTGTGAGTAAGTGACGTGAATGTGTGTGTGTGTGTGATTGCTGTGCGTGTGCGTCGTGCGTCTGTGGTGTGCGTGTGCGTGTCGTGATGGGGGACGGTGTGTGTGTGTGTGGGTGTCGTGTGTAGCTGTGGTGAGGTGTGTGTGTGTGTGTTGTAGTCGTGTGTGTGTTGCGCTGCTATACAGAGCTGTTAAATGCAGTAAAAGGCGACGCTGCGTACACCACATGAATATCTATAATTAGCTTATTAAAGTCATATATTAAGGCGAGCTCAGGATCGACTTAATAAAATTTACTAATCTTACCCGGTATGAACTAATTTTGGAACTGGAGCAGACGAACAACGCGCCGCCATTCGCACGTTTATTCGCGGACTTCCTCAAACGAATCGTTCGAACATTGCAATTTTTTTCAAAACGGAATGTTTATGCGCTAGCAAGATGTTCTCCTGGGTGAATTTCCCGTAAAACACCGGACGAGCGCGGGTAAACCGCTAGGCGCGGCGAGTCAATGATAATACACCGCCCCGACGTGAGTCAGTGTGTGCTGCTGCTTATCAGACGCGAATTTCTGGGGCAACCGGGCAATGCGAACGCCATTTTGTTATTCTCCTCTCCAAACGTCTGGTATTAACTAATGTCAATACGCCCCGCATCTAACCAGACCAAACACCCTTCCTTACCAGCAGTATGCTATACGGCGATCAAAAAAGCTAAGCATATATATCATTGCATGCTGTGAACATGTATGCATATTGATGAAGTGCCGGCGTCGGGCTGCGAGGCGTCGCGTCGGTGCGGGGCCCGCGTGTACATATCAATTCAGTTCAGATGAATCAGTGTCACATGCACATAGCCTCTGCAATTGCCGAATGAGTCTATTATATGTCTAAAAATCAGGGACTACGTCAAGCTAAAGCAATCGCTTGGCTCGTGTAGGCTGGCTGACCTTTTTCTGACCATTACGGTAAGTGCGTGTCACTCTAAAAATCCATATCGTGAGTTATTAAACGCGTCTTGGTGTTATCTTCATGTGTTTGTAGGAGGGTATGCGATATTAGCAATAAAAGACTGTATGTGGGCCCATTTGACCTGCCAATTTTTATTACGGTGAGTTAGAAGTTCGATTATATTAACCATAAAATAATTATAAACTGCCAATATATGCGTTAAACACGATAGAGCACTGAAGATGATTAGTTTTTTATATTGGGATATATAGTAGATTTCTACATATTAATTCAGAAGAGCATTTTTCTCGTTTATACTACCCGTGGAGTTATGAAAAATCATGTCGTGAATTGAAATATCAAAATTATGACGTAACATTCTGCCGGTACGCGTGCGCAATAACTTCGTGTGTTATTAGTATTAGGATTTTAGTTTATATAATTTTGACAAAATTTCAGTTGTATATAACCCATTCGTAAGTGTTTAAGAACATCTTCAAATATTCCAATAACGACTATACTGTCTATATCAGCTTTCTGCGACTACCACTAATAACATTATTTCTATTTTTTACATATTTAAAAAATTTTATTGATAGCTGAATAACACGCGCAGCCACGTATTTTATACGAACGAAAAATATTACTATCGCATACAAAAATTGACACGAATTGATATATCACAAAACTATCATCCAAAACCACATACAGCAAGCACAATGCGGGGGATGCAGTGCTGCGTGATCAAATCACACTGCAAAATGATAACTAACTTTGTAACAAAAAAGTAACACTGCTAAAAGGTCCATAACCTCCGGCCGTAAACGGCGTATCGTATCGAATGAGGCGAAAGTTAATGTTTGCAACAAAAGCAGCGAGATGCCGGACACTCAGCCGATGGCTTTAACTTATTTGAGCTGCCGGGTTTAATTAGGGCTGAGCTGCTCAAGTGTTTGTCAAATGGATAACTCGCTTCATGTGGTAAATACGCGCAGTCCATACACTACACAACATGGATGTCTGCTCCAACAAAGCAATTTGCTATCTGCATTGTCCATTTAGTTCCTGCAGTACTCGAGATGGGCCGCCGTTCGGAACTCGTTATGCCTGACCCTAATAGTGAAAAAGCGGCCTTTTACAAGTCGTATTTGTAAGTAATTAGCGATTGCCTGCTACGCAAGCGAAACGGTTGAGTTTCGGTCGAATTGGGAGCACATCGTGCACAGCGGGATCACAATGGCCCCATTCTGCGATTAGGTCAGGCAGCACTGCCGCGACACAAAGGCTCGGACTGCTGGCGTAAATCTATATGTAACGGCCGGCGCTTACGTGCACGCGGGACCGTTAGGCGATATATTAATATATATATATATAATATTATATTATACTATTATATATATATATATATGCGCGTACACGCCACTGCCGTAGTCCGATGTGTGGTGCAAGATTGACTGACCCGCCCTCATTGTGGTCGCAAACGCATGCACGTGTGCTGCTACTGCTGCTACTGCTGCTACTGCTTGTATACATGCGCTTACTGCGGAACTGCTGCTTGCTGGCTGCTGCTGCATTGCTGCTAATGCTTGATACTGTGCTGCTGCTTTACTGCAATGCTACTGCTGC